GCGGCCGTCCTGAGGGCTCACCCCTCACCACTGAGGCAGAGACCGGCACACCACCCGCCGTGGGGCTTGTCCCTTCCTGCCGTCCTGCCAACCCTGCTGCTCCCGGAAACCCCCACCGCCCACACCCTTTGGATCTTGGGTGAGGCCTCCAGAGGTTCTTTCCGAGGGTCTCAGCATCTAGCACTGCTGCGAAGACTTGGCGTTTCAGAGCAGTTTTAGGTTCAGAACTGCCTCCCGCAGTCAACATCCCACCACAGGGCCTCCGTGGTCACAGGCCATGGACCTCCCGACATGCCATCGGCACCCGAGTCCACGCTGACATCTGGGGTCCTCTTGGTGCTGGACGTCATACAGGTTGGGACAGGCGTGTCACCACACATACCCGCCACGGGACTGTGGATGGCATCGTGCAGAGGAATTTTACAGAAATCCTCTGTGCTCTGCCTGCGTGTCCCTCCCTCCCTGGGGGCCACTGACCCTTTCACTGTCTCTGTTCTGCCTTTCTCCCGGGGTCACACAGTTGGAATCAGGGAGCACAGAGCCTTTCATGTCTCCTTATCGTGTCATTTTCCTGATGAAGTTTTTGTTCATGAAGAAATGACTTGCGGGGGGCGTCTGGGTGGCTTAGTCGGTAAAGCATCTGCCAGGGTCCTGGATCGAGACCCGCACTGGGCTCCCTGCTCATCTGGGAGCCTGCCTGTCCCTCAGCTCCTCCCTCCGCATCATGCTCTCTCACTCTCAAATAAAATCTTAAGAAAAAAATTATTTGGTAAAAAAAAAACAAAAAAAACAGATTAGGAACCTAGCTTTAGTTAGCCTGCTAACCCACCACTGCTTACTAGGCATGTGTGTATGAATACTGAAATCACTATTCGTGTTTATTATTCATTATTACACACGCATCTAAAATCCTGTTGTAAAACTATCCCACTGTGGAAGCAGTGATTTTCAGTCATGTTGTGTGTCCTGCTTGACTGAGACTCGTGCCAGGCTGGCTCTGGGACGCCAGTGTCTCCCACATGACCGTGGCACAGGGGCAGCGCACATGCTTGTCAAAAATGATTGTACTGTGACCACTTTCTAGAATGATGGCTTGGCTGGAACAAGAACCTGGCATTTTCTTACAACCTTTTTTAAAGCAAATGTCCCAGTGTCCTCAGAGAAACTGGCCCTCAGTCGGAGCCCTGTCCTTGGGGAGGGCCTCCCTTTTCTCTCTGGCTGGTGTCTGGACTAGATCAGTTTGCCTTAATTTTACCTGCTCAGGAATTGGTTGGTTTTCTGAAATCTTAAGACTTATGGTTGGTTGGTTGTTTTTCCCATTCTTTGAAATTCTCAGCCATCGTTTCTTTAAAGACTCTTTGTCCCGTTTGTTTCTGACCTCTTCTGGAGATCTCATCAGACCTGCTGGAAGCCCCTCCCTCCCTCCATCCCTCCCTCCCCCCTCCTCTCCTGCCTCCCTGGGGTTCCCCAAAGGAAATGCTGGGAGCCAGTGGATGGATTCCTTTATCTTTATAAGGAGGTTACATATTGTGTTTGTTCATTTCTTTCATTGGTTTTTTATCTTTCCCTGATTTCTTTAACAGTTACGTTATTCTTGTTTAGTGATCGCGTCTGCATCTGAGGGCTGCTGTGGCTGGGCCTTGGGGATCTGGAGGGGCAGGATTGTTGGTGTGATTATAGCTTCCAGACAGTCTGCCGTTATGCACCGGGTTTTCTAGTTCACCTGAGTAGTTTAGGAGAGTTTTAGAATTTTTTAGTTATTTTTAAACATGTGTTGAGTTTTACTTTTGAATCTGTTCTGTTAAGCAGCCTTATCATACATACTTACATTTTTTTCTAAATTTATGTGTGTTTGTCCACTTGAACTGCCGAGATCCATGATTTTGCATTGAGATCTTTTGCGTTTCTGCCGGTTCCCCTTCCCTTCTTCCTGCGCTGCCACTTGGTGTGAAGTGCCCGCAGAGGTGCGGCTCAGCCTGCTTCACACGGTGCGTAGTCCTTTCTGACGTCCGGTAACACTTGTCGGTATTTTTAATCAGGTGTTTAAAAGGGTCGTTTCCAGAAAGGTAAAATATGTCTCAAATAGCTATGAAAATGGGCACAGGTTTAGGGTTTGCTTCTGTTCACTAGATAGTGAGGGGACCAGTCAGATGTTACAGCCAGTTCCAAGGAAAAGCTGGTACACAGATTTATCCGGAATAAAGAAACTGAATTACAGATGGAGACTAGGGTGCCTTGGGGGTGACTCAGTCGTTAAGCATCTGCCTTTGGCTTAGGTCATGATCCCAGAGTCCCAGGGTCGAGCCCCACATCGGGCTCCCTGCTCTGTGGGAGGCCTGCTTCTCCCTCTCCGTCTGACCCTCCTCCTGCTTGTGTTCTCTCTCTCTCTCTCTCTCTGTCAAATAGATAAATAAATAAAATCTTTAAAATAAAAAAATAAAGACAACACCAAATGAAAACCTTTGAACTTATTATGCTTTTCAACCTGAAGGAAACAAAGAACAGCTACAATTCTAAACCAGCATCAATAAAACCAATATTATTCTTATGAGAATCAGTGGGCCACTAACTGATACAAGGTGGAACATAAATACCTAGTCTACCTAATTTGAGACTAATTTGAATCGTTGCCACTGAATTCAGTTGCAGATGTTTATTCTGGAAGATGCTATTATGAATGTCGCAGACTCCAATGCTGACAGTGGCTGTTCAAGATTAAATTTATGGAGTACCCAGAAAATAGGCTGAATTGGAACCTGTAGACAGTTTTCAAACACTCCTTAGCAAGTTTTTTTTTTAAGACATAGAGGGCTATTGTTTTCCTATAAATTGGAAGTTTTGGTTTAAAATCAGCTTTCCGTTGTCACATGGCCATAAAGCAAAGACCCAAAAATTTCAGATGATCCCAGACAGTGCTCGGGCAAAAGCTGTCGCGCGTCAGTCCTTCCAGGGTTGAGCGCGTCGAGTTACCGAGTTACCGTGAGGAGGTGACGGTCAGCGAGACGCGGCCCCAAACCTTCCCGGCAGCGCAGCGGGTCGCAGTCAGCTGGCTCACATGCCACCTCCAGGGCGGTTCCCCCGTCAGTGCACTTGGTGACGGTCTCGTCCTTTCCCCCCGAAAAGGCCCAGGGGCGGTTCGAGCTGGGCAGGAGCGGAGGGCGCGGCCCGCTGCTCTGCCTGGGACCGGCCGCGACGCCGGTGTCTCCCTTGCTGCTAAAGCTTGGATGTGCGCCAGGCGGAGCGCGCGGGCAGCGAGGGCAGCGGGGCAGCAGCTCCCCGCGGGGGAGGGACCCCGGGGCCGGGACCTGAGACCCCCGCCCGGACCCGGCGCCGCCCGGCTGCAGTGAGACGGACCCAGCTCGTCGGACCTTGTCCGAGCGGGAGCCGCTCCGCTGGCAGCTGGAGGCTGCGGCCGGGCAGGGCCACCGTCCCACGAGGCCTCGGAGAGCGCGACTGCGGAGGGTCGTCCCCCAGCCGGGTCCGCGGCCTCCGGCGTCGTCCCCGACTCGCGCCGCGCCCTGACCCGCCCGGCCGCGGCTCCCTGCCGCTCCCGGGGACGCGCCGCCCGCTCTGGCACGAGCGTCCGCGTCCGGAAGGCCCGGGGAGACACGAGGCCGCTTAGGAGCGCTGCCCTTCGGGTGTCGGAGCGGAGGCCGTCCCGGGGTCAGGCGCGGCCGCGGAGGGCGGGAGCGGGTGGGGCCGAGCCTGCGACCGTGTGCACGCGTCCCCGGGGACGGCTCTGGGCCCGCGTGGGTTCGGTTCTGGTCCGAGGAGTCCACGTGCTTCCCGACGGGAGCCCCGGAGATCCTGCCTCGGAGCGGGGGCAGCGGGGCGGCCCGTGAGCCCCGCGGGCGCCTGAAGCCGCGGGCGGGAGCAAACCGCACGCACCCGCCGGTGTTGGCGGACGCGCCGGCCGGTGGCGACGCCCGTCGCGGCGCGCGGCGAGAGGCTCCCAGCGGCGAAACGGCGGCGACAGCGCGCGCCGCGACGGAGGTCTGCGCCCGTGTCCCTCGGAGGGACCGTCCTCCGGTGTGCGGTGACTGTGCGGTGACGCCGCGGGCGAGAGGACGGAGGGGAGGGCGCGGGCCCGCGAGCTCGGGCGAGGCCGCTGCGGAGCTGACCGTGGGGCGCCCGGACCTTGTCTGCGCAGCCCGCGGCCGCCCCGTCGAGCCTCCCTCCGCGCGCGCTTTTCTCTTTCGTCAAAGCAGAACTTTTCCACAGCCGCGGCGGCCTCTTGCTGCTGGTCCCCAACCCTGCGGCGCGGGGCTGCGCGGGGCTGCGCGGGGCTGCGCGGGGCTGCGCGGGGCTGCGCGGGGCTGCGCGGGGCTGCGCGGGGCTGCGCGGGGCTGCGGTCTCCGCTTCCGCCCCCGGCTCGGAGCCTGCGCGTCGCGGACGAAGGAAAGAGACTCATTTCCACACCCGGCCCCGCGTCCTTTTGTGTCCCGGACAGATGCGCACCGAGCACTGGGGGTCCCAGCGCGGGCGTCCCGTCGGCGCTTCCGCTTTGGCCGCGCACCCGCACCCCGCAGCGTCGTTCCAGGTCGCCCGCGGCCTCCCCGGACCCCCGCACGCTCGCTCCGAGCGCCCCCCCGGCGGCAGTCGGCCCCGCCACGCGCCGGGCCTGGATTCCGAGACCTGGAGGCGCCCGAGCCCGCACGCCGCGCACCGGCCGCCGGGAGCCCTGCCAGGTCCGGACGCGCCGCGGAGGCTCCTCGCGCGTCTCCAGGGTGTCCCCGGCCCCTGCCCCCGCGGCCGCCAGACAGATGTGCCCGGAGCGGGGCCGGCCGAGCCGCGCCCGCCGAGTGCTTGTGCGGCCACGGGGGGCCAGAGTGACGGACACTCGGAGAGCAAACCCCGTCGGCGCCTCGTCTCGGTCGCTGGAGCACGAGGTCCTGGCCTCAGGGTGGTGAGTTCAAGGCCCACATAGAGCTTCCATGAAAACCAACCAACCAAACAAAAACACCAAAAAGAAGCAAATCCTCTCCTCCCCTTGTTTCTAGGGGAAGCGCCTCATCACCCCCTGCCCGGCCCCGAGATCCAGAACCAGAGTGTCACCTGCGAGGCCCCTTTGGGACAACTGCAGCCCCGTTTTGCAGCTCAGGTAATCCTCCTTTATCTAAGAAGTGTCCCTTTAGTACCTGTTTACGGGTCACCTGAGTGTGGAATTTCATTACTGACATGGAAAACCCAGTGAGCACAGCTGCAGAGGCCTCTGATGTTCACACCCAAGTGTCGCTACCCGTAACATCTCAGTGTGTCTCCTCCTGTTTCCGTTTTAAATATGTGTTTATTTATTTTAGAGAAGGGAGCCGAGGGAGGGGGAGAGGGAATCTCAAGCAGACTCCCTGCTGAACGCAGAGCCGCCGTGGGGCTGTCTCCCAACTCTGAGATCGTGACCTGAGCTGAACCCAAGAGTTGAGACCAGAAGTCAGACACTTAACCAGCCAAGCCACTCAGGCACTGCTCCTGCTGATTTTAAAATGACCTAAGTAAATAGCAAACATAAAATTACCAATTACATCATATGTATGTTTTACTGTAGCCTTACCCATCTGGGCATTATTTTTCCTTTTTTTTAAAGATTTTATTTATTTATTTATTTATTTATTTGAGAGAGAGAACAGTGAGCACACACACACACCCAGAGGCAGAGGGAGAAACAGGCGCCCCACTGGGCAGGGAGCCTGACACCTGACCCCAGGACCTTAGGACCATGACCTGAGCCGAAGGCAGACGCCCAACTGACTGAGCCCCCCAGGCATCCCCTATTTTTCAAATCTTTACCAATATGGTGAGTTAAAAAAATTTCATCTTTTAGAATTTTCTTGTTTCTTTGGTGGTATTAAAGGCTGTAATCTATTTATTGGCCATATACCTTTCCTGTTTTGTGGGTTATTTATACAAATGCTTTGCTAATCGTTCTATTGTGTTTGTACTTGTTAGTTCTCTTGAGTTCCTTATCAATGAAGGAACTGCTACTTGTCCATTATAACCTTTCCCAGAGTTACCTGCCTTATCCTTTCTTTGTTTTCTTAATCCACCGATAACTTTTTTAATATGGTGAACTCTTGTCAGTCTACTTTCACGATTTATTTCACTGTGTTTTTTCTCTGTTTCAAGTTTAGGTAAATATCTACCCATTTTTTCTAGCTTTTCTGTTTCACTGTCATAGTGCCCTTAAGTAATTATCCTTTTTCTCACTGGTTTTGAATTGATTTTTCTTTAATCATCTGTTAAACATTTAAACTCTTGCTTATGTCTTTTTCAGATTCATTTTTTATTTTGAAATAATTCCAGATTTACACAGAGTTGCAAAAATAACACTATACTCTTCACCTAGACTTACCAGTTAGTTGTTAACTGATCACTACATTTGCTATGCCATTCTCTTTCTTCCCTCCCTCTGCCTCCCCTACATTTTAGATAGATAGATAGATAGATAGATAGGTGATGGGTGGATGGATGGACGATAGATGGACGGATGGGTGGTTGGATGACACACATAGACACATGAACATGTGCACGACTTTGTTGCTGGACCAGCTGTGGGGCAGGTGGTACGTGAGAAGACGGGCCTTGGTACGCCCCACGAGAGCCCAGTAGACTCTGAAAGTTTGATTTCATGTAATCTTCCTGTCATGAAACAGATTTTTTTCAACTATTTAAAAAGATAAAAACTATTTTTAGCTCATGGGCTGGACAAAGGTGGGGATTTGGCCTCTGCCAGGTGTGACTTGCCAAGCCCAGGTCTACATACTGGTCTGTATACATTCTTTTTGTTGAGTAAATACAACAATGGCTCATCCGTTCTTCTCTCAGGGGATAGTCAGGGTGTTTTTTGCTGTAAACATTGTTACGAAAGTCCTCTGGCACACACATGTCAGCATCCCACAGATGGTGTGTCTGTCACAGCTGACGAGCCCGCGGGGACACGCCATCGTCACGCGGAGCCCGTGGCGTACGTCACGGCTCGCTCTCGCCGCTGTGCGTTCTGTGGGTTTGCACACGTGTGTAATCACGTGTGTCCACCGTCGCGGTCTCCTACGGAGCAGTCTTGCCGTCGGACAATTCTCTGTGCTCTGCTCATCCTTCCCCCGTCCCAGCTCTGTCCTTGGTACCCACTGATCCTGCTGCCCCCGAGCTCTGCTGTTTCCAGAACGTCCTGGGGTTGGAATCCTGCGCTCTGTGGCCTTCTTTCTCCGGGGAATGCGCACGTGAGCTGCCTCACGTCTTCCTGCGGCTGGAAAGCTCCCTTCTTCCCGCCAGGAGGCATTCTGTCTGATGACTGTACCCGTTTGTTCATCTCGAGGCTCTCTTTAAACTAACTTTTTCTAGCTATTGCAGGTGCTTAGGAGCAGAATTGGCTTTTTTTTTTTTTTTAAGAGTTTTTATTTATTTGTCAGAGAGGGAGAGAGAGAGCGAGAGTGCACAAGCAGGGGAGAAGCAGGCTCCCGGCTGAGCAGAGAGCCCAATGCAGGACTCGAACCCAGGACACTGAGATCATGACCTGAACCAAAGGCAGATGCTCAACCCACTGAGCCACTCAGGCGCCCCCATAGTTGGCTTTTATCAAATGTTTTGTATCTGGCAACTCTGCAGAACGGATTGGCGCTAACACGTGTGGCAGCCGTTTTCCTGGGTTCTCTGCGCGGACGGAGAGCATCTGTGGTGAGGGTGCAGCTCCTCCCCTCGCAGTCCTGTCTCATGCTGCTGTCCGGGGTTCCCATGCATCGTGGGGAATAGGGCCATCCGCACCTTTGTCCTGTTTTATGGAATGCTCTTTTGCATATTTTTTTGGTAACAATTTTATTTTTTTAATCAATCTCTACATGCAGCGTGGGGCTCAAACTCCGTCCCGAGATGAAGAGTCATGTGTTCCACCAGCTGGGCCCGCTAGGCGCCCCAAATGCTTTTTGCATTTTACATTCACGTAGAAAGTTTGCTATTGACTTGGGTATTAAGTTGAATCCTACGAAATGGCCATTTCTGTGAGTCAAAAGTGGTTAAATATCAGCAATTTCATGCAACTCGACCTCAGACAGACCCTTCGTCAGTTAGAAGTTCTTTCTCCTCCTGCTCTGCTGAGTTCTTACCCAGAACAGATGCTGCGTTCCGTCTGCTCATGCTTCTGACTCTAGCCCGATGACCACGACCCGGGGCCCGGCCGGCGGGATGCCACTGTCCTTCCACAGAGGTCACGGCCTCCGGCGTGCCAGCCACCTGCATGTGCGGGCCAGGTGTTGCTGCCTTCACAGTCCGTTCCTCACAAGCTGTTCCACACGACTAGGAGCTCCTGCCTGTCGTGAGCTGATGGCGGTAGGAAGCGCATGTCTTGGCGCTGTGTGTAGTGTGTCATTTGCCAACGTTCGGTTTCCTGGAAGGATAGGGGAGTTTCCTAAAGCTTGAGACTAACCTTACCTGCCCGTGCTCTGCCAAGGTAGTCTCCAGTGTGTGGCTTTGCCTTTTCAGTTCCTTGGCAGTGAAGTAGCAGCCAGCTGGGAGATAGATGGCCCGTTCCGCGTGGGCTGACGTGAGCCCCAAGGTGGCCCGAGCAAGGTGGCTGTGCTCAGGTTCTACGTTGACCTGGGTGCCCGGGCACGAGGGCTGGGCGGCCAGCCAGGAGAAGTGTCACATCTGGAGACAGCTGAAGTCAGGGTTCGCTGTGGGATGGCTTTGGAATGTGAGAGCGGGCAGGAACCCGGCTGCTGGGCCAGGGGGAGGCGAACAGTGGCTTGGGCTTGGCGAGACCCGAGCTGCCCATCCAACACGTCCGTCGGGCACACACCTCACGGGGCTGGGGGTCGGGGGGCTTCCACTGGGCCGCAACACAAGTCCTCGGCAAAGGGCAACGTCTCAGTCACGGGACGGCAGGGCCAGCACGAACGGCAGGGACAGCAGGGACAGTGCCCGAGATGGGTCTATAGGAGAGGCCTGCACAGTGGCAGTGGTCTGCCCGACGAGGCGGCGCTGGCCTGAGAACCTGAGCAGGGCCGGCCACAGAAAAGGGGCTGAAGACCATGGCTACTTCCACCAGAGGACCCCGGCCCCCGCACGGCCCCCTGTCCTGGGGACCCTTCACCGCTTGTGGGGCTTGCTGTGAAGCACTGAAATACCAGTAGTTCGTGACTTTCCAACCTGCATTGATTAAAATTCTAAACTCGTGTTGGAAGAAAATCTCCCAAGGTGTCGCATAGATATGCCTGTTCTCTGTCACAGTAACACGTGTGCGACCTCCACTTCCTTCTGGTACATTAAGTACCGTCTTACACTCTGTTAACCCCTCCAGACCACAGAATTCACGTCTGCGCTACCCCAGTGAGATGACTCCTTTCTTACAGCCTGGGAGAGGACGACTCCCTGAGGCCCACTCTCTGAACCAGTAGATAAATAAGCAGCAGATATGATCGGGAACCACGGAGGAAGGGCGCCTATGAGGCGCCGTCGGTTAAGTGTCTGACTCTCAATCACGGCTCAGGTCGTGACCTCAGGTCCCAGGGGTGAGCCCCGTGTGGTGTAGTGTCGTGTCGGGCTCCCTACTCAGTGGGGGGTGAGATTCTCTCTCTCTGCCTCTGCCCCCCCGCCCACCCGTGCTCACTCTCACTTTCTCTCAATAAATGTTTAGAAAAAGAAAAGAAACCACGGAGGAAGAAGCCCAGGGAGTCGCTCAACAAACACGAAAAGCCCGTTCATCATCAGAGCCAGCTCGTTAAAACCAAAGACGCGCATGCATTACTCAGTCCAATTCAAATGTTAATCCCACTAGAGCAGAGAAGAGCAGCGCTGTGGGCCTGAATGTCCTCCGGGGCTCCGGGAAGAGGCTGGGGGTCTGGCTGGCTCCCGCACGAGTGGCCCGCTGCTCAGCGTCTGCCCTCGTGCGGCTCCTTTTAATTCCTCCGTTTTCTTCCAGGTTTCTGTTCAGGCCTCCTAAGACTCCTTACAGTTCCCCTCGACGGCTCGGCGGGCGTCCCCTCGGAGGGTGGGAGGGCCCTGCCAGCAGACTGAGGGGCACGGGGGTCAGGCCGTGGGAAAGCGGTCTGTGTGATGTCGGGGCGCTTGGTCTCCTGAAGGCCGGAAGGGGCACTTGGGGACGCTGTTCATCCTGGCGGGTGGACCTGACCTGCCCCTCCTTTCCCAGCTGCCACTGACCTGAGCGAGTCCCTGACACAGGGAGTCCTTCCTCATCTCGGGGGAGGCCTTGGTAACACAGCCCATCAGCCGTCACCGGCACCGGATTCCTTCTGTTTGCATTTCCACGGCAGGGCTCTGAGAACACCAGGAAGACCCGTGTCTCCGAGCGCTCGGGGAAGGTGCAGCTCCGCCAGGCCCAGACAGCCGGGAGAAGCCAGCCTCCGCAGGGCCAGGCCGCGGGAGCAGTGACAAGGTCAGGGCAGGTACGCTGGGCCGCGGGTGCTGGGGACACCACACCCCGTCTCAGCACGGGAACCAGCCGCGGGCAGCAGAGCACCTGGGGTCCTAGCAGGGGGCTGCTGCTGTGGCCACCCCAGACGGTCCTCTTAGGATGGAGGGAGTTGGCTCTCATGCCTCCGCAGAGTGGGTGCACCCGGGGTGCGGGGGAACGGGTGGGCACGGACGCCAGAGGGGGCCTTGGCGCAGCCAGAGAGGTGGGCTCTGGGGCATCTTTCCATGGAGACCAGACTGCTTTGTCCTTCCAGGGTCCGTAGGAATCCCAGCTGGTCCCGCACTGGCCAGCCAGTGCGCTTGGGAGCATGGGCCTGTCCCCAGGGCCTCTGCACAACAGTCCCTGAAGCCTCCGCCCAGCCTTGCCCACAGTCTTGTCGCTGATTCCAGGGGCAGGGAGAGCCGGCTTTGGGGTCATTCTGTCTTTGTTTACTTCCCTAGCGGCAGCACAGAATGTCCGCAGCGACTTGCAGATGCACTCGGCACAAAGAAAACCGGTCCCCAAAGCCGCGCCCGGCTCACGAATGCCCCACGGAGAGTAGGTGCCCGGCTGGGAGCTCCTCCTCGGTGGCCAGCGGTCCCCTCCAGGACACGTGGAAGTTACTGGACCTGGGATCCAGCCCCTCTGGCCTCACGTCCCAGGACGACTCGGCACCAGGTAGGCCGGGGCAGGGCTCCAGGGTCCTCAACAGGCCAGGCTTGGCCCCTGGCCGCCGACAGAAGCCATAGGCAGAAAGACGGCAGTGGTGACATGAGAAAGATTATTTCAGGGACGCCGTTCCTGGGAGGCCAGCGGACCAGCGTTCAGAACCCTCCAAGTGCAGGAAACACGTCCCAGTTTACGTAGGGACCACATGGGACAAAGGTCCATGAGTGTGGGCAGGCGGCCGTGACGGCCAGGTCGGTCCCTGTCATGGGATCAGTCACGGGGATCCCGCTGGCTCAGTCCTTCCATCTCGAGGGGAATTTCAGTTCCCACTGGGGACCCTGCTCTCAGGGTCTCAGAGAGAAGCGGGAAGGCAGAACTTGAGCCATGATCGTCTGGCTGGAGGTCAGAACAGAGGTGAGATGTGCTGTCCCCGCCGCTGCATGGTGGGGCTGGATGACCACTGTCAGACTGACACACAGACAGACACATGGCATTCTTTCTGCCTGTGCGGGCTCCTGTGTGGGCGCTCCGGCCATGTCACCCCTGGGCCCATCCGCGGGAGTCCCCTCCCTGGGGAGCTGTTGTATCCACCTGGGAGACCGGGCACTCTCTGTGCCAGTTGGCCTCTCAAGCACTGCTCTGTCCTTGCCCTAGTCCCGCCTGGTGCTCTCGACGTCAGAAGGATCCACCTAGAGGGCCCACCTCTCGGGGAGCTGCGTGCCGCCCCCCTTGTGGCATGAAGGCAGAGGGAGGGCAGCCCGTGCGGAGCCCCTCGGGGATCCGTGTGCACAGAGCGTCTCCGCTCTGGCTCTGGCCCCACGCAGCACGCTCCGTTGGGTTGATGTGCCTCAACCTGTGTGACCGTTGTCCCTGCTGTGGACTTTGTGGGTTATTTCCAATCTTCTGTCACACGTGTCCTGTTATAGTAAAGGGCCTTGCAGCCTGCGGGGTGGGGCCTTGCTTTGTCGGTTCTGGAAGCCGCCATCCAGCGGGGCCCTGGCAGTGTCTGCAGCCCCTGGGGTTGGGAGGTTGTGGCCCTTCCCGAGTCCTCACTTCCTCTCCTTCAGGTCCCTGCCCCTTTGTACATGGAGTTTGCTGTCTTTGTCTTACTGATTTGTGGGAGCTCATCATTTATTATGGAAATTAGGCC